ATTAATGCAGAAACAAAAAACCAAATACTGCACGTTTTCACTTACAAGTAGGAGGTAAGCATTGGGTACACATGGACACAAAAATGAAAATGATAGACACTGGGGACTCCAGAAGTGGGGAGGGTGGGAGGAATTGAGGGTTGAATACCTACCTGTTGGGTACTAGATTCACTCTCTGGGCGATGGGTCCATTTGAAGGCCAAACCAGAGTATTACACAATATACCCATGTAACAAACCTGCACGTTTATCCCTTGAATCTAAAATGAAATTAAATTTAAAAAGAAGTAGAAGCTCGGGATATAAATGACAACATGCCTAGCTTTCAAGGCAAGATGTTTTTGGGACATTAGTGAGGACGCCACTGTCAGGACACACTTTTTCCTTCCAGATGTTCATAATCCCAGCATTGGAATGAATTCTCTCTAGTCTTACATTCCAAGCCATAGTTGGCCATGGGTAGTAAAAACGAAATCTGGGGGTAAGAAAGTATGCTGAAAGCATTCTCTCTTTCATTTAGAAAACTTTCCTGTCTAATTATCCTTGGCTGTCAATTAAAAGTGAGACACTTCAGACAAACATCTCTCAGAAAATTTAAAAAAAAATTTTTTTTTAAATGAGGAAAAGCAAATTGTGAATGGATAATTTGTCAACAGGTAGTCTTCATTGTAGTAAATAGTATCCTGGGCTTTTCTTGGGGAAATGCCCAAATGTCAGCACTTGCAGTTCTTTTCTCTGGGATCATATAGTTTCTTCAGAGAATGCTCTTGAAACCTTGACTGTGTGTGTAGGGTGTGGTGGGGGAGAGGTAGGTTATAAACCTAGATGCTCAATTAAAGAGAACATGACAGGGGAAGAAGGGCAACACTCCTGCAGTAAATATATAGACTTTCACATAATTTTTTCTTTATTTGATGCTGTGCCTACTTTCTCTGAGTTTGGGTGTTCATTGGTTCAATTTACCCAGAAAACAAAATTTCCATCTGCTGTGAGATGGAATTATCTGGCTTCATAGAGTGGAAGAGAGATCCTGGACACCCAACAACTTTGAACACAGACTTTAATGAATCTCACATCTCTAATCCTATACCTTCCTACCTTTCCTGGGAATCTTCTGTTTACAAAAATTTTGCCTCTTACAGGCTGCATATCAAGTGGGTTTGTCTCTCTTTGGGATAACCCCTTGCAGACATTTAGCATGTAACTTTTTCTAATCTATGAATTCATTTGTCATTTCTCCGTTTTGGTGTCCCAGTAATGGGTTGACATCTCTCATCCATTGTCTCACCTCCTATTCTCTTTGTCCTTAGAGGTTAACATCTTTTAAAAATCCTTTGTGTTATTTTATTTAGCAGCCTCGTAGGTAAAGCAGAGAGGATGAGAACAATCTGCAATTTGAAAATAGAAAACTTCATTAGGATTTTTAAATGCTTGATGTCATATTTAAGGAATTTTTTTCTATGTTTTGATTTCATTCTCAGGAAAGGGAAGGGGGGCAAATGGGCTTAGTTTTCTTTGTCTTGCTCTGTCATCCAGGCCAGAAAGCAGTGGCACAATCATGTGTCACTGTAGCCTCAGCCTTTCAGGATGAAGTAATCCTCCCACTTTAGCCTCCCAAGTACCTGGGCCAGAGGTATACGCCACCACACCCAGCTAATTTTTATTATTTTTTGTAGAGACAGAGTCTTACTGTGTTGCCCAGGCTGGTCTCAAATTCCTGGGCTCAAGTGATACTCCCACCTCAGCTTCCCAAAGTGCTGGGATTACAGGAATGAGCCACCGTACTCAGCACAGAAATTATTTAAATAACATATTAAGTAGATTTTGCCACAATAACCTAATATAAATTAGAAATTTCCTGGCCCGGCGTGGTGGCTCACACCTGTAATCCCAGCACTTTGGGAGGCTAAAGCAGGCAGATCACCTGAGGTCGGCAGTTCAAGGCCAGCCTGACCAACATAGAGGAGACCCCATCTCTACTAAAAATACATAATTAGCCAGAAATAGTGGTGCATGCCTATAATCCCAGGTACTTGTGAGGCTGAGGCAGGAGAATCACTTGAACACAGGAGCTGGAAGTTGCAGTGAGCCGAGATCATGCCATTACACTGCAGCCTGGGAAACGAGCAAAACTCCATCTCAAGCAAANAAAAAAAAAAAAAAAAAAAAAAAAAAAAAAAAAAAGAAAGAAAGAAAAGGAAAGGAAAGGAAAGAAACAAGGCTGGCTGATTAGAACAGCATTTCTTTTGCCACCAGTTGAATAGCAGCGCCTAGAGTTTCTGGTCATAATTGCAAGGATTTATCGAAAAGCTTTAAATGTTTTCTTGGTTTTGGTTTTGTTTTGAGACAGGGTCTCACTCTGTCGTCCACTCTGGAGTGCAGTGGTGCGATCCTAGTTCACTGCAGCCTCGACCTCCCAGGTTCAAGCGATCCTCACCTCAGCCTCATGAATAGCTGGGACCACAGGAGCGCGCCATCAGGCCAGACAATTTTTGTGTTTTTATAGAACTGGAGTCTTGTCATGTTGCCCAGGCTGGTCTCGAACTCCTGGGCTCAAGCAATCCTCCCGCCTCATCCTCCCAAAGTGCTGGGATACAGGAATTGAGCCACAGTGCCGAATAAAAAGTATTTATTCGGTCCACATCACCCGCCTGCGGGCGCGGGGATAGAGGGTGCGGTCCAGGCTGGAGGAGCTGTGGCCTGGCCAGTGCGTCACGGGCTGCAGGGACTCAGTAAACCACGTGCAGGGCTGGCGGCTGGGGGTTACTTCAGTGCGCGGGGAGGGGGAGGCCCGCGGCAGAGCGTGGGGTTAAGCGGCCTCCCCAGTACTGGGGTGAGAGCCTAGAACAGGCGGCAGGGCTCCCCCACCCCCAATCCCCAACCCCAATCCCCGCGCTCGCTGCAGTGGGACGTGAAAAGCCCGTCCCACGCTCTGGGGAGTTAGTCACCTTCCACTGGGACCCTGAGACGAGTGAGCGAACATGAAGTCCAGTCCTGGCATCCAAGCCGCCATCGACCTCACAGCGGGGGCCGCCGGGGGAACAGCGTGTGTACTGACCGGGCAGCCCTTCGACACAATAAAAGTGAAGATGCAGACGTTTCCCAACCTGTACAAGGGCCTCACCGACTGCTTCCTGAAGACGTACGCCCAAGTAGGTCTCTCGGGCTTCTACAGGGGCACTGGCCCGGCACTGATGGCCTATGTCGCCGAAAACTCGGTCCTCTTCATGTGCTACGGGTTCTGCCAGCAGTTTGTTAGGAAAATGGCTGGACTGGACAAGCAGGCAAAGCTGAGTGATCTACAGACTGCGACCGCTGGGTCCCTTGCCTCTGCTTTTGCCGCGTTGGCTCTCTGCCCCACTGAGCTTGTGAAGTGCCGGCTACAGACCATGTATGAAATGGAGATGTCAGGGAAGATAGCAAAAAGCCATAATACAATTTGGTCTGTCGTGAAGAGCATCCTTAAAAAGGATGGCCCCTTGGGCTTCTACCACGGATTCTCCAGTACTCTACTTCAAGAAGTACCGGGTTACTTCTTTTTCTTTGGTGGCTATGAACTGAGCCGATCGTTTTTTGCATCAGGGAGATCAAAAGATGAACTAGGCCCTGTCCATTTGATGTTAAGTGGTGGAGTTGCTGGAGTTTCTCTCTGGCTTGTCGTGTTCCCAGTGGATTGTATTAAATCCAGAATTCAAGTTCTTTCTATGTATGGAAAACAGGCAGGATTTATTGGTACCCTCTTAAGTGTTGTGACAAATGAAGGAATAGCAGCCTTATATTCTGGACTGAAAGCTACTATGATTCGAGCAGTCCCTGCAAATGGGGCGCTGTTTGTGGTCTATGAATACAGCAGGAAGATGATGATGAGCCAGTTGGAAGCAGACTGAAGTGTCTTGGTGAACCCGGATCCGAGTCCATGAGTCTGAGGACTACAGTTCATCACAGGGTTCAACAGAGTACAAGACCAATGCGAATTCTGACTTCATGGGAATTTTGGTTTTATCTTCCCTTCTTCTGCCCTAAACCTTAACTTTATGGAAGGGCCTCTATTTTACATCATATAATTTCTGCCTATAATTGTATTGAAATAGAAACGGTGCTGCTCTTGCCTTTGCTGGGATATACAGGGTGGACTGGTTGGCCCTATGTACCTAATCTGAAAAACTAAGTATCACTCTGTCAGGGCCTTTGCATAAACCTGTTTGTGTGTACATGCAGTTTGGATGGTAATATGTTGTGAGTAAAACAATTTGATTCTATGTATAATCTCAAATATCACCCCGAAAAACCCAGAATTGACCATATTTTGTGAAATAGGTATGAATGATTGCGTAGGATCTCTCTTTGTTTTTTTGGGGACAGAGTCTCACTCTGTCACCCAGGCTGGTGTGCTGTGGGGAGCCACATCTTAGCTCATTGCAATCTCTGCCTCCGCGGTTCACGCAATTCTCCCACCATAGCCTCCTGAATAGCTGGGACTACAGGCACCCGCCACCATGCCTGGCCGATTTTTGTATTTTTAGTAGAGATGAGGTTTCACCATGTTGGCCAGGCTGGTCTTGAACGCCTGACTTCAAGTGATCTGCCTGTCTTGGCCTCCCAAAGTGCTGGAATGACAGGCAGGAACCACCATACCTGGCCAGGATCTCTTTTAAAGTCTGCTTAACATGTGCACTACATCAGGCGGTTAAAGTTTTGAAAAGTCTTCATGTGGTGGTTGAAAACCATAATACTCTGTATTTTTAAGAGGAGAAGGTGCCTGCACACAGGTGTGGCTTTGACATTCTTGAGTTAAAGTTTCAGAGTAAGCATTGTGTATTTTCCCAAGAAGCAATACCCTTACAATAGTGCTATCCATTTTCAAAGTGAGGTTATATTCTGCATCCTGCCTATGTGGTTAGGGGTGGTCTAGAGTATCATCAGGCCTTGAGGAATCAGCACAGCCTTCCTGCACCAGCTTTCTTTCTCCCTCTCAAAGGAGCTGGAGCTGTACAGCTATGCTTTGATGAAGACCCATGTGGCTGATAACAGTTCTTAGCTTCCAGTCTCTGGGTCCTGGCCTGGGTAGGATCCTAGGATGTTCTACTATTGGCCCATATCGGGGTTGTGGATGCATTTTGGGTGACTCACTGCCTCCATCAGCCAGAAACCCTCCTGGGGAACAGAAAGTGCCAAAGCTAGGAGAAGCTTTTGTTCCCTGTCTGCTGCTAACAACGCTTGTGAGTAAAAGTCATCTACTCTCAGGTAGAACTAAACAGAACTTAGTGCCTTCACTCCACAGTGAGTCATGTTAGGGACAAGCTCTTTTTGAAATTTACTGTAAGGTCCATAATACCTTCTCATGACTTCACAGTGCTAGAGTCTTCTAAATTTGGTACTGGCTAACAGTAAATTTTAATGATAACTGTGTATGGGATGTGACTAAGCAACTGTGTATGGGATGTTCATGTGATGAAACATAAGAAAAGTAATTTTATTAAACTACTTATCATATATATGTATAGGTATATGTACACTTACAAAACCCCTCCAAAACAAAGAACAACTCCCCACCTCAAAGCGTAGTTCATCTATCTGATCCCCACAGACTTGGAGATAAGCAACTGTTCTGTGGCCATGTCATTCTCGTCACCAGTAAAGTAAGCCCCAACACTCTGTGTTGCTCCAAGACCACCAGCAGAGTCTGTTTCAGTAACAAGTTTTCTTAAGCATCCTCTAAAGCTGAAAAGAAGTAGGCTACCAGTCTTAATAATAGTCTGTACCATGTGTGTTTATCACTTGGCAGAATGTAATTCCTGTGAGAAACTTTGTTTACTCAAGCTTTTTGCTATCTTTGAAGCCTCTGTGGTAACTCTAGCCTTAGTGCCAGAAGCAAGAGGGTCAGGGAAATGAGAAATTGACCAATAAAGGCTGCTGTGGACATTTAGGGGAGGGGAGGCTCAGTGTCAGGCCTGGTGTGCCCCACAGCTATGGTTGTTGGTCTTCCATTTATTTACTTTTACTTTAAAAGAAAATCATGTTTATACTTTAAAGTTATTTACAAATTTAAGTTATATATTCCATACTTAAATGGAGAGTAGCTATGGAGTGGTGCTTCATCAGAGCAGGCCTATACTGAATAGAAAATGGGACTGGCGTTTAACAGTAAGTGGATCATTTCAGAGTCCACCGTCCCCCTGCCTGGCACCCGTGAGCTAGTCTAAGTTAACTTTGTTGTCGGCATAATTTCTTACATGTCATCCATTAAAGACTTAACTCAATACCTTCAACAAAAATAGTATGAGGCAAGTAAGAGGGGTGGGAGTCACCTAAAATGTGATAAAAAAATAAAAAATTAAAAAGAATAAATAAATAAAAAGAGGGGTGGGAGTGAGGCATCAAAATCTAAGTCAGGAGAATTTTTTTCTTGTCCTATTCGCTTAATTTATGGTTCAATATTTGGATATTATTTGTATCATTTCAGATCTCCAAACAAAAGTATAGTAATTTGAAATACTGTGTTTAAAGAAATTTGAGGGTTCTATCACTAAATTATCTATATAATACGTCTTTAACTCAGACCATTTACAATGTAGTGTATTGAGCTCTGACTGTTCAGACACTAATGGTGCCTGGTTTCTCTCTTCAAGGATCTGACAGTCTAGATGTTTGTTCTGTAGTTAGGAGTGATATTTCAAAATAAAATTTAGAAGGAAAAAGTGGAATCCAAATTTTATACTCTCTGTGTGTCATCAGTGATGGATTTAGGGAACTGTCTCTGAAGTTAGGGAACTGTCCCCTTAGTTGTGTTTTTGTATTGTGGCTTTTTGTATTCTTTAAGTTACTGCCATGGTTTTTGTTTCCAAGATTTAAATTGATCAAATCATTTTTCTGATGCCTAGCCTTATTTTAAATTTTTCTTCACTTCCACATAGCATGTTTTGTCCCTTAACTTTGAAAAATCTTTTCTGTAATTTATTACACCCTTTGGTCTACTTTCAAGGCCAAATGGTCTGCATCTTGCATTGCCGAATGATATTATAGTTAGAAATTCATTCTTTGTCCTAGCAATCACTGGCTGCTAAGCAGTAGTAATCAGGTATATGTGATATCTCAGAAGGGTCATATCTGGCAATGGAGTATCAAACCTGCAGATTTTCTTCGTGATCTTCTTGCTGAACTCAGAAGAAATGTAGGTTCTCTTTCTTCAGGCCCAGTCCTCTAAGGAGGGGTGATAATTATTTCCAGGAAGTTGTTGTGTGCATAAAACTACTGGAGATTTTGGCTCAAGACCAGAAAGTATCCCTCTGCCCAGGGCCTGCATTTCCAGCTTGAGCAACTCCTCAACTTTGAAATTTCTGTTTTCAAAGTCTATAATTCTCTACTCTCTCTGATCTCTCTAGATTCATGTGAAATAGGCCAAAAGTCTTCTCTGAGATTCATTTATTCATGTGAAATCGGCCAGAAGTCTTCCCTGAGATTCATTCTAGAAAGCAAATTATTTCACTGTTGAAACTGAAAGAAGTTAGTTAGCCTGCCTTAGGTAGATAGCAAGGGAATGGTCCCTGGAGAGCCCCCGGCCCATGGGTCACTGTCTCGTCCCCACATAACATAAAAAGCAGCCTGGGAAAAAATTCAAGCTGCAGGCACTGATAAGGAACTAGCACAGGGTGTTGTGCCCAGAGACATGCCCACGGCTGCACAGATAGAGAAACCTTGGCCCATTTGGAAAAAAACTCTCACAGACCTCAGATAAGGGAGATAAGGGAACAAGGCCTGACATAGAAAATAAAAACTTGCAGAGAACTGTGGACCATTCAGATAAGGGAACAAAGGCCTGACATAGAAACAAAAACTTGCACAGACCTCCGGACCACTCAGATAAGGGAACAAGGCCTGACATAGAAACAAAAACTTGCAGAGACCTCCAGACCACTCAGATTAGGGAACAAGGCCTGACATAGAAATAAAAACTTGCATAGACCTCCGGCTAACGCCCTTTTCGGCCTTAGCCCACCTGCACCCAGGTAAATAAACAGCCATGTTACTCACACAAAGCCTGTTTGGGGATTCTCTTCAGTCAAGGCGTGCATTTTTTAACAAGCCTAAAACATATAATTAAGATTACTTACTGTAAAGGTGTTATCTAAGTAACATTTAAAACGTATTTTACATCTTGCCAGGAGTGGTGGCTCACGCCTGCAATCCTAGCACTTTGGGAGGCTGAGGTGGGTGGATCATGAGGTCAGGAGACTGAGACCATCCTGGCTAACATGGTGAAACCCTGTCTCTACTAAATACAAAAACTTAGGCGGGCATGGTGGCGTGTGCCTGTAGTCCCAGCTACTCGGGAGGCTGAGGCAGGGGAATCCCCGAACCTGGGAGGCAGAGGTTGCAGTAAGCCGAGATCGTGCCACTGCATTCCAGCCTGGTGACAGAGTGAGACTCCATAAAAAAAAAAATATATATATATATATTTAATATTTTTATATTATTTTAAATATATATATATTAAAATATATATTATATATATTAAAATATATATTATATATATTAAAATATATATATTTTTTACATCTTTTATCTTTTATTGCAAATAAGCAGATTAAGTTCTACATTGCTGTTTTATCTTCTTTAGCTGTATTAACAGCCATGCTAGGTTATCTTTGCCTCTATAAAAAGCATTTCACTGCATTCCAGCCTGGGTGACAGAGCAAGACAAAAAACAAAATCGTTTTTCCCTCTTCCCTGTCCTGAGAGTGAAATCAAAACTTACGGATCCCGTTGGGTGACAGTTCATGATGCACACATATTGCCAGTCTTTAAGCACCATTTCTGTGAGTGGAAAAATGCACTGAAGATGTTTTGCTTCTGCTCACACGACAACAATCAACACAGCAGAGTTCTG